TCCTGGTATAAATGCCATTGCAGACAGATAAACCTCTTTAGAATGGTTTAACATGTAAAAAAGACTCGTTCAGAGATTAGAAGGAGAATGTGTAATACCCAAAACAGCAATATATCTATAACAATAGTAAGATTGTGAGATTAGCTGTTACTGGGAACATTTAAGCTGTGGAGAAACATTCATTGATAGAGTTAGATTAAGTACATGTGTTAGCAGGGAATAAACAGAAGATCAGGGGAGTGGACATGATTTAAATGGATGCTTCTGGAGAGAAAGATTTAATTCTTGCAATCTACTGAGGTTCAAATCTCATATATTGTTTTATCTTCTTTTTTTTTCTGCAGAGGATGTTTGAGCTCCACCTGCACATTCCTTACCTTTCATGAGGCACTTTACACTTCAGCTGAAAGTACAATCACTCAATCCATGGATGCTCTTCTACTTTTCTCTTCAGCTGTAAATGCCCATTCCTTTATTCCCACGGATAATTATGCTTAAAATAAGTTTAGACAGAAATCATGAGGTAAAGTGTTGCAGGTAGGTTCATTTTTTTGAACGTCCAAAGGGAGAAAAATGGAAGTGGTATTAATCCCGCTCCTCCATGGTGATCGGACGTCCCGAGAAATCCGATATTTTTTTAAACTTAATTGCATCCGACCTTAGCCCATTTAAAGTCATCATAAACTTTCAAGCAGTGCGTTTAATTTAGCATTGTTTTCAGTCTAAACTTGCTCAAAGTGGTGCGCAAATAAAAAGTGACATTCAGTCGAAGTAAAGCATCTAAGAGTCGCAGGACTGATGAGGAGAGCACGCCGCGGGGTTAGTTAGAGCGCTGCTGTTGATTCTGTCCCTCCTCTCATTAGCATCAACCCTCTTTTTACTACAGGGGCTGTAAACACTGCTGTCTAGTCGCACAGCAGCACCACAACCACACTTCCTGTTTGACCTTTCAAAATAAAGGTTATCATATTCTTATATTCTTTATCTTTATCTAGCTACGACAGTAGTCATGTCAGACTAAATAATACTACTTATACTTCAGCAATAGTACTAAGGTGTTACTTTATTGTATCTCTTATACTATATCTGTTGGTTGTGTTGTTCTTTTTACATTTCTTTGCAGGTGATGAAGCAGACTGGAGATGTTTTATTGTTATCTCCCCTTTTATCTCCTTTCTTTAATCTTTTCTCCCTTTCTTCTGTTTTTCATTTCCTGTTCTTCTTACATCGCAGTGTCCATGTAATCTAATACTCCTTGTATGAATTATAATAAAGCTATTTATATGCAGAAATCAAGCAGAACACCATGGGGATAGCCGTACTGCTCCACTTGTTAAACTAAAATCTGTTGGGCTCTTTTAGGCATCAAGAAAATTTATCTTATTGCCACATTGCCTGACAGGACACTGTTAAAAAAAAATAAAATACACAAAGCACGAACAGAAACGTATTTTTTTGTAAAATTGAATTAGGGCTTAATTTGTTGCAATATCTTATTTTAAATCATATTTTTTGATAACATAAATGCAAAGGGTACATATTAAAAGTATTTGGCATGGTATAAACCAGTCTGGTTTATATAAATTGTGGCAATGAAATTAGAAATGTAGATATAAACAGTAACAATTAACAATATTTATATATCAGGTATAGGTTGATTATATCAAAAACTAACAAATAAAATGTATGACAAAAATCCTCAGAAGTAGCCATTGGAGTTCTTTTAGGATTATTTTTTGAGTAATTGTTTGAATATGGACAATTATACAAACAGAAATCTGGCCAAAGTCAGTCTTCACTAATAATGTCCCTGTACTCTATTCCAGCCACTTGGTTATGGTGCTTCTGGTAAGCTTTCCTTGCCAGCATCTTACACCCTGCAGTTATCTGCTGGATTGTCTCAGGGGCCTCTTTGCACAGTCTGCACCTGGGGTCTTGTCTGGTGTGGTAGACCTGGGCCTCTATTGCTCTGGTGCTTAGGGCCTGCTTCTGTGCAGCCATGATGAGTGTTTCTGTGTTGTCCTTCAGTCCTGCTTTGTCTAGCCATTGGTAGGGTTTCCTGATATCTGCCACTTCGATTATGTTCCAGTGGTACATCCCGTGTAGGGGCTTATCCTCCCATGACGGAGTCTCTGGCACCTCATCTTCTGTTCATTGTCTGAGACATTCACTGAGGATGTCGTTGGAGCCTTGTCCTTGATGAATTTATGGATTTTGGATGTTTCTTCCTGGATAGTGGCTCTTAAAGGAATAGTACACCCAAAACATGATTAGCCTTCATTTTCTACTCACACTCTGGAGTATCAAAAAAGTACTCCAGAGTGTTGTTCAGCATGGGGGTGAGTAGAAAATGAAGGCTAATTATGTTTTGGGTGTACTATTCCTTTAAGCTCACTAGTCCTCAGCCTCCTTCCTTACGGCTGGCATACAGTCTTAGGGTACTGGATTTGGGGTGGTACCCTCCATGCATATATATATATATATATATATATATATATATATATATATATATATATATATATATATATATATATATATATATATATATATATATATATATATATATATATATATATATATATATATATATATATATATATATATATATATATATATATTGTTTTACACTTACTGAGACACTTAATGAGAATCTACTAAAAAATAACATAGACCTTGGCAAAAATGCTTTAGAGTATGTTTTTCTTAATGTGCTTTTTGTGGAGGGAACATAAGCAAAATTACTAAATGCTTACTTTTTTCTTTTTTTTTTGTTACTTAAAGTAAAGCCAAACTATTTGCAAATTCAAATTAACCAGACATTTATTTAGTAGTAAGCATAGTTCTAATGGGGAAAAATATAGTTCTCTGCAACATAAAAAAAAGTTTATTTTGAAAGGGTAAACATCTATTTCCGGTAATTAACCCAGTTTCGCCCAGCAACTTGCCGAAGGTGGCACTTTAGCGCCTCACACAAAAACACCTTTGGGTGGGATAGACTGGTGACTGAAACAATAGGAAACTCGCTGCCACTATAGCAGGTGTTAATATATTTCTGCCAGGGTCTACAAGTAAATATTTTACATTGACTGATGAATTATGATTTATTAGTAGCTTCCTTTGACTAACGTGCTCCTATTTACATTCTTATATATTTATAATACTGCTTCATAACATGCTTAGCATATTATCACTGAGGTTATTTCTGCTATATTTTATTCAAAATGCATATTCTTTAATTTCTAAATTTTGAGGACACAGTTTTGAATGAGCCCTGCGACAGACCGGTGACCTGTCCCGGGTGAACCCGCCTCTCGCCCGTAGCGGACCGGACACCGGCCCCGCCATTGCGATCCTCACAATGGCTGAGCGGGAGAAAATTGATGGATGGATGTTTTGAACAATGAGTTTTAGCCAGCCAACAGTTATAATATTCAAATAGACAAATACATCAATAACCATCTAGTCTTACAGGTAACTCCGACGTTTCCTTCTCATTTTTTCATATGCAGAAAAACTGATTAGCTAAATGCCAAAGTCAGGCTAGCATGACGGTTTAAACATTCTGTAATTTAGCATTGTTTCCGTTGACCAAAATAAATGTATTTGTAACCCGTTTTTTATGATCTCACCTTGTTATTGTTGCAGAGCTCCCCTTTAATAAGATACATTTCAGAGGAAGTTATGAAGCTGTATTTAAAGGTTCACTGGGGGCGTGGTTTTCAATCAAAGTGACCAATCAGGACCCAGGAATACCACCACTAGGTGGCGGTAATATGCCAGAAACAACCCTGCTGAACTAAAACCAGAGAAGCAAGTATGGATGGAATGCAGAGGGGATTTGGGAAAAATTAAATCCAAAAGAGAGAAATTTGCTTAAAAATTTTAAACGCTGTGAATGTTACAACAGAGATTTGATATTGAAACAAATATTTTTTTATTATTATTTTGAAAGCTCTGATCATTTGTTTTATCAATGCATAATCCCTGAAGCTTTGGACGGATATTCATGACTGGTTACATACAAAGATCAAACTATAACTCTTCTCTCTTATGGAAAACAGTTAAACTTTTCAATATTCTTGAAAAAAAAAAGATCTGCAATACAAGCTCTAATATTTTTCTTATCCTAATAATTTTTTTCTTTGATATCTTGTGCTGATATTCTCTAGTGCATTAATATTATTCTTCTATGCACTTGCTGCTCTAACAGTTAACTGAAATGCCTGCCATATTGTTGTGTACATAGTGGAAATCCTCAAAAAATAAAATAAAATTCAGGAAAAAGAAAAAAAAAAGATTCCAGATATTTTCAAGTATCTACACTTTCTAAGTAACCTTAGCGGTCTTATCCACTTTGTATAGGTTATCAAGCAAAACAGGTGATAAAAACTTTTATCTTTTACCATTTCTAATACTCCAATTTATAAAACTGAAGGTATATTATAAATAGAACAAAGAAAACATTTAAATCATAGCAATTATATACAATTTATCTCTATAATGCTGTTATTTGGTTGTGTTTTTTAATGTCAATTTAAGCTCTCCAAATCTTGTCTTTTGTCTACTTTTGTGTATCTAACCTACTTTAATGTGTCTATTTGGCACACATGTATAAATGCAGCTGATTTAGTAAGTAACATGGTTATCATTAAGAGGTGTTTTGTTAGCGATAAAAAAAAAAAAAAAGTCCTTTCTGTTGAAAAAAAAGTTCCTGAGCTGATTTACGGAGAATAATCCGATCCGACTAATACCAGGTATGGTTGGTTTAGTAATTGTTCCGAGGGGTTGCAATTAATAGCAAGGAAGCATCTTTGAATTAACCCTTTGGAAAGCAGCAGGCCGCCTCACATCTGAAGGGATTATTAAAGTTCAACCTTTACAGCAACATTTTTTACACGATTTTGATCTCCTGCGAATGAAAATAGGTTCAGTCTTTCATTGGTTTGTTTCAAAATCATGGATATTTATAAGTGGATAGCAGAGATCAGACAGGGGGATGGCTTGTAATTGCTTTAGTAGCCCTCTGTTTGATAATGCTGACTCAGAGGGACCAGGTGCACCATATGGAGATCAAAGGATCTGAATTAATCACATGAAATCCTCCAAGAAAAAAAACTATGCAAGCTTTAGCTGATAAACACAAAGGATATAGTGTAGAAAACAGTTCTCTTGAGCTTCTAAATACATAAGCATATTACAGACCAAACTAGCCCAGGATTCTAAAGTGATACGTCGCTTCTTTTTGTTTATAAAAAGGTAGACATTTGTTACTCAAACATCTCAAATAATCACATTTTTTAGGTGAAATTCATTGGCAATAAAAAGATAGATAAGCTGAAAAAAGACCTTACACAAATACATAAAGGATTATTTTGATAATTTATTAAAATAAAGAATCACATACTAACTAGAAAAAAAAATCTAAACACGGATTTATTAAAGATGATTCGTCCTTAAGCTTTTTTTTTTAACCACTTTAAACTGCAAGCAATACATGAACACATGCAGGTGTAGCCAGGCTGCAGCTGAAGCTTTGTTATGGGTTAGTCATCAAAGTCTGGGATGTCATCATAGGAGTACCCTGGATAGCCCTTTGATGCATAGTAAGCTATCCGTAAATGGTAAATTCCAGGCAGGAAGACAATGATGCCGATGATCAGGACAGGCACTGTTCGGTCAGAGTGCTGAAACATGCAGAAGAAAATATTTACTTAAATTATTGCATGTAAAACCAATACAAACTTACCATGAAAGGTCTATTTATGAATATAACTCACGGTAACTCCAAAATATCCAGCCAAAAGAAGAGAACCAATGACGATTAAGACTGAGCCGATTAGAAAGAGCACTGAGGCGAGGGCGATTGCTTTGTACGGGACCTTGGGTGGGCTCTTTTTGAACTGCAGAGGGAGAGAAATTGGCAATCAAAACCTTTATGTAGCAGAAAGTTAGCTATGTTTAAAATATTGCCCCAAGACAAGCAGGTATTACTGGAAAACATGAACTGGCAGCAAAAAATCTATAAGAGGTCTATCAGTCATGTTACATGAGGATTATGAAGATACATGTTAAGTGAAGGTTTTGATTTAAGTAGTTGGATTAGTCTCACAAAGTTTAAAATGTAGGACTATCTTGAGTCTACATATTTATTTTTACTGCCTTATTTCAAATTGTCAGGGTTCTGCCCTTTCTTTGGGTTTCTTTTTAGTTTCACTATAATCTTGTGTCTTTGTGGTTGTTTTTAATAGCAGTGTTGTGTTTTTGTGTTACTCTCTGTTTAGTTTTTTCCCCTTGGCTCCTTTCTATGTGCTTCTGTCCACACCTGCTCCCAATTAACAGATTACTCCTAGTTCTGTGTTCCATATATTAACCTCCTCTGCAGTTCATCAGTACTGGTTTCCTTTCATTGCTTTGTTTCCCTGTGTTGTCTCTCTCTGGAATCTCCTGTTTTTTTTTGGTTTCCTGTATTTTTAGTTCGTTGAATTTGCCTCTTTCACCTTTGGAACCCTCATCAGCAAAACTCGTCTCTGCACTGCGGTCCTCAACCAACTTCCACAAAACCTGACACAAATGGTCTCCGATGAATCTCTTTTTTTCTAAGTTTTACACACAACGCCATATTTAAAGAAGTTAATTTTAAGATTTGTAGGTTGTAACATGGGCTGTTCTATACGGGGGCCAACAAAGGCCAGTGCCCCTGTAGAACTGGCCCTGGCCTCTGTTGCAGCCTCTGCACTGCAAACACAAACTGTAAACTAAGTATATTTTTCTGGAAATAGGTGTATATTACATCTATTTAAGCACGTAGGTCAGAACATTTGAGATAATTTGTATGTACAAAAAAAAGAATATTATTTCAAGTGCATAGCATCTTATTACTTTTGTTTAAAGGGCTGAAACCCTTCTTCTTTTGGTCAATCATTAAATTAACCTCCTCAAATTAAGGGCAAAATACAAATGGAGTTTAAGAAACTTTTACTTTTTTTCCGCATACATTTTTATAGTGTAATACTGAATAAGTCTTTTATGACAATATGCACCGATAATGAAACCGTATCTGATTTATCCCTTAGACAAGCTTGATACTTTGTCTTTCCAACTTACTTGATCAATTATTTCAAAATGAAAGAAACTAAAGGTTACTGTGTTTTACTTCATAACTTATAATATGCTCTCTTGCGTGGATCTTTTTAATCGCTTCGTTATTCTTTTGTCTGTATAGGCTAATCTCTAACATTTATCTTTTAAGTTATCTAACTTATAGCTGAAGTTAACCAGGATTGGGGATCAAATATCTCCTTTGCAACCAAAAATTGGCCACAAAAATCTAAACTATATTAAAAAAAATTAAGGTAAAGGAATGAACAATAATGGAAGAGATATGCAACCTCAGTAAATTCAAAAGACAATAAAGAAAGTTTCTTGTATTTTATGAAACTCTTGACATCATTATTGAATTTAGACATTTCTCATGGCTCCTAATGATTCCTTTTCAGTCTAATTATTTTGTGATATAATTAATTTAGACAAAACGTAACACAGAGCAAGCTTTTATAAACCTTTAGGCATCAATTTGAAGACGTGTGATGGATACCCGCCGAAATAGCTCAGTTGGGAGAGCGTTAGACTGAAGATCTAAAGGTCCCTGGTTCGATCCCGGATTTCGGCAGGAAGTTGGGAACTTATTTTTTTAACAATGTCCTGTCTCAAGACCGGACATTTTTGTTACAACCTTCAAGGGAGTATTGGCCTAACGATTAGAGCAGTGGACTTTTGCTCTGTGAGAAGGTTGCAAGTACCAGGTTCGATCCACACAGCCTCCAGTCTGGGTCCCTGAGGAAGACCCTTAACCCCACACTGCGCCCCAAGCGCTGCACAGTAGCAGCCCACTGCTTCCCAAGGGAATGGGGTAAATGCAGCGGTACATATCTCTATTGTGAGATCAATAAAGTTCAATTTATGTATTTATTATTTATATGATAAGCATTGTTATTTCTCCCAAAAACATGAGATAAACCCTCGCCTCGCCACGTCTTACCTGTAGATCGATATAGCCGTCATCATCTGTGGCTAACCTTGAGTATCTAATTTTGCTGTTAGGAGTATCATGGGATACAATATTCCGAGCTGGCATTTTCTTCAGCTTCCCTGGAGCTTGCTACACTTTACTGACGACGTTTTTCAGGCAGAAAGACTTACAAAAAAATAAAAGAAGCGGCAATCATATTTTTTCTTCAGAAGCTATAACAGTTAAAGCAAACGTTGTATAAAAAATATAACCTTAAGTTAAAATAGAGCGACTGCGACTTTCTAGAACAAGTTTAGCGGTGATATCGCGGAGGTGTTGTTTATAATCAGGATTCTTCCGCGTCGATTTGCAGTGACGCTGCTGTACGCATACGCATCTATGCGCATACGTAGCTCTTCATCTTCTTCTTTGTTAGGTTAGCGGATTGCAAACAACTTATAGGTGCATACCGCCACCTACTGTACATCAGTGTATAGCTCTGTAGTTCCACCTACTATATTCTATTTTTTATTTTTGCTATGTAAAAATAAAAACAATGCTTTATTATTAACCAAAATTTCCTCAATATCTCCATCTGTCTCTAAAATTCCTTTAACACTCCATTCTCTCCCTTTTTTCATAGTTACTTTCCTCATCCTCTCTCTTTCAGTCGCATATTTAATGCAATCCATCAAAACATGACCCACATTTTCTTTTCTTTCACAACCCTCACATATATCATTATTTCTCTTCCCTAGTACAAACAGAAACTCATTCAAGTAGGTATGTCCAGTTCTTAATCTAGAATCAATTATTATCTATAAGCAGCTCTCGTCATCAACAGGAAATAAATTTGTTTTGTATCAGCATCAATTTATTTTTAGTAGATAAACTATAGGAGAGGTTTATTTAAGGCAGTATATTTTACATCTTAAAATGTTCAATAAATTATATATTTGTCACCCATTTTAAAGGGTGAAACAAAAATATTATACAGGTCAGTTAGAAATAAAGTGGATTTTTCTAAAACCTCATTATTTTTAAATTCTGATTATCAAAGAGTATGGTTATTTAAAATTTAACTCTTTCTTAGGAATTCTTTATTTCTGATCTTACAAGGGTGATTAACCTGGATACAAAAGGTTTGGAATATTCAACTCTATGTGTAATGAATGCAATTGCTTCACTTTTTAAAATCAGTGACAAAGAAGTAACTTGCAAGTGCCACTTTTACCCACAAGAGGGCGCAGTGGGTTGTTATTGAAGCCCGTAGGTCAAAGCAGAGTGATACAGAGCTGTCAGGATTAATTTTCTGATGTGTATGTCCAGCTCTGTTTCACAGGACAGCGTTGTAATAACTGAGTGTTCCCAGATCATAGAGTTTCTGCACATTTTGCAGATTTTGATGCATTCTTATGAAACAGGAGCTGAAACCTATAGGCTACTTTGCCTCATCCAAGGGCTTTTTTTTAGTTTATTTGTTAAGATTTCCATCAATTTTCACCAGGATGGTTACTAATTTTACGGGGCTTCAGTTCATTTATTGTAAATAATAATAAAAATAATGTATATATATATATATATATATATATATATATATATATATATATATATATATATATATATATATATATATATATATATATATATATATATATATATATATATATATATATATATATATATGGAATCATTCCGTTCTTAAGATAATCAGTAAATTAGATTTTTTGAACTTCATTTTATCAAACATTTTGACATCATTTTAGATGCATTTTTTTACTTATTACATAACTTCATTTTTGCAGCACTAAGCAGATGAAAGGATCATATGTCTTTTCAAAAAGGACACATCTGTCCCTTGGATTTGTCCTATTCATCAAATTATGCAATAAATCGCTTTTGGCATTTGGAACAGTTAACTGCAAATTTGTGTAAAAAAAAAAAAAACAAGACGAAATATAAAAAATACAACATTTCTCTGTGCCTTTTAAGGGCTGCTGTTTAGGTATTTCAGTCCACAGAGGAACATAATATCATCGAATTAGTCATGCAGGGCAAAAAGCCACCTCAGGAATGATCAAAGATGGAATAAGTACAACCACTAAATATTGGAGCTCTGGACATTTGCCCTGAAATGAATAATTAAACATGGATGCTTATATGGATAAATGCTTTGGGCAGAATGAGTCAATAGTGATTGTGTAAATGCTGACCTTGAGCATGAGTTCCATTGTTATAGTTTAGATTTCTATTGTTGATCCCAGGAGGAGGATAAGCCCTAAAACAATTCATCTGTCCTTTTCGTTCCTGCTGAATCGTTGCTCATCCCAAAGCCCTCTACCCTCACTAACATTGCTTAGTTTTTAAGCAGATTTGCAGATGTAACCATGTCTGTTTTTTTTTTAAAGTGAAAAGCTAAATGATGCATTTTATAGGAAGTTTAACTGTACGTCTTTATATCTTAAAACCACAGCATGGTTTTCTAGAAATGTTATTCAATAGATCAACACAGTGTGAGAGTGAGGGAAAAATTTAAGTTCTTTTAAAACATAACTTTCCATGTTAAATAAAAATATGTTTTAAAAACAATCCGAATAAAATCTTTAAAGGTGTATATATGTAAACATTAGCTGAATTATTAGTCCATTCTTATTTAAACATTTACTCAAATTTTAGTTAAGTTGGATGGAGTGCCTGTGTGTTAAAAAATTCTACTCTTTCTGCTATTTCTCATTTATATTTAGATCTGTGCTTTAAAGGTACACTATGCAACCGGTGTTGATTTTCCAGCGAGGCTCCCCCCAGAGGGCGAAAGTAAAAGTGCACTGTCGTAAATATGCACAGCTGTTCTCCTGGTTTCTCCGTCAAGCCAGGCGCGGTAACAGTACCACAAAAAAATGGCCATTAATGTACCTCCACTACGTTTTGCAGTGTGGACCAACGTAGTGGGGGTACATTTTCCTATGAGACTGGGTTGTTTGAGCTTAGCAGACAGGCGAACGCAACGAATGACTAATGCTGCGTTCACACCGCAGCTGGCGCGACAGAAGCAGCGAGTTTACATGCAACGTAAAGTCAAGGCGCAGCAAAAGGTCCCGCTTCGCGTTTTGAGCAGCAGGCGCAGCACGTCTGAGCAGCTGAAGCAGCGCGTCGGGCGCGTTTAAGCATCTGACGCAGGGAGAGAGACACAGCGCTGATGATCACTCCTCTTAAACAGTTTATTGACGCCTAAATTAACTTAAAATGCAGAAATCTGCCGGCAGAATATGCAGTTTGGATTATTTAGATGAAAAACACCTACCAGCTGCCGTGGTGAACCGCGAGGAGGCGACCAGGCCAGAGGCTGCTGATGAAGGGATCCCTACTGTCGGCGCACCGCTGGTATGTGGGGGTCTGAGCGGCTCCGAGAGAAAAAATATTGAAGGCAGGATGATAATCTGAATGAACTGACGGCACTGATTGCGTTTTCAGGTGTATTTTCTCACTTAAACACATATTGAAACTACTTTATTCCCACTGATCACAGCAAATATAGCTGCAAGGCAGAGAAAGGATAGTGAAGCTCCGCCCAACGCGCGTCAGACACACTTTTGCACCGCGCAGCCAGAGCAGCAAAGCTGCTTCAGCCGCGCGTCAGAACTAACTGGTACAAGCAGCAAAAATGAAGCAGCAGACGTGATTTTGCTGCGTCCGATGTGAACGTAGCATAACTGCACAAGGATCGCCAATGTGCTAGCAACAAGAATGCTTTTAACTGGGGGCGTGTAGCAGTTCTCGCCGTAAAGCAAGACTGACTCTCGCGAGACTTCTGAGCCTGTGGGTGCGGGTCGGTGCTCCTGCAATTGCAAGTGCGGTATTTCCCCCACAGACCACCAGGGCGGCCGAGAAAACCTTTGTTCGACCTGAAATGACTCATTTAATCATCCATAACGTTATGGAACACATTAATTAACTGAAAAATGTTGCATAGTGTGCCTTTAACTGAGCCATTCAAATGTCATATAGTCTATTATCTAACCTTTCCCTGTGGGATGGTGAATCTCCAATTCAACCTAAAGTCTTTTGCAGCTTTTGTTAGGTTTGATGTCATTACATTTCCTGTCTGTATCTCCATCCTTTGTCCTCATCAACCCTGACAAGGTTCTCTGCCTCTGTTGAAGAAATTATCTCCAGAGCACTATGCTTCCACCGCATTGTTTCATCAGGGGATGTTGTCTTCAGAATGATAGTTTTCATCTACACATATTATTTTGCAATTATTGGCTCTTTTTTGTTTGAATGAAGAACTGAATGGTGCTCCCTTCTCTCTCTCTTTACCCTTGAGCTGTCTGTTGTTTTTCTTAGACTTTGTCAAACCGTTTGTCTTCTATTGTTCTCCAACAAACCTCTGAGGCCTCCAAAGAACACCTGCATCTATACTGAGATTAAATTACACACAGATGGACAGTGTCTACTCAATAGGTCACCTCTAAAGGGCAGTTGGTTGCACAGGATTTTATTTAGTGGTGCTTTCACAAAAGGGCTGCACACCACACTGTTATTTTTAAAAATTGTCAGGCTGAGAAAAAGATGACCCAGTATTCGAGACAGAGAGACAGTAAGGATTAACAAAATATTTTTATTTAAGACGTAGCGGTAGAAAACAGTGGCGGCGTCTGTCACGAAATGGTCGGACAGAGAGTGTAGTTTTAAATACTTGACTGAAGGAGGTTAACACGTTACAGATTATGTGTTACTAAACTGAATCTTGGCCCTAACTAGCTAACTAACTAACTAACTAACTAACTAACTAACTAACTAACTAACTAACTAACTAACTAACTAACTAACTAACTAACTAACTAACTAACTAACAAGCAGTGCGTGTGACGTATAATAATAGTATTGACCTGAAACCTTCAAAATAAAAGCTATGTCTCATCACAGTATCTAAGGCCGTAACCTCTACAGGAGGAGAACACAGGTTTGTGACCACGCCTGTCTGGCGGAGGATGATGAGTCTGTGAGTCACTAACCTTTTCCTAAAATTCAGTCTGTGCCCAGAGGGCAAGGTTGGTTCCAGCTGTTCGGCTGCCCTGGAGGTCGGAGAACAGGCAGGAGATCAGAACCGAGCAGACGAAGGAAGGCAGGATAAACCAGTGGGCGAAGCCAAAGCCAGTGTCAAGGATGTGCTGAGTAGTCATAGCCAGAAGATCAGCGATCCAAAGCGGAACCGAAGGAAAATCCAGGACGGTGTCTCAAATCAGTTCCAGGTTCGGTACACAGGCAGAAATCCAGTAGGAGTCCGAGGAAAGGTCAGGCAAACAGATCAGAACGGGGAGAGGTAGGCTCAGAGGTCCAGAGGCAGAACGGGTCAGGATCAGGTAATCAGAAACAACGCTAGAGAACTCT